GGTTGGTTGGTTGTGCCCAGCAGCATTTTAACCAACTGAAAGCCTTCTACCCGGAGTAAGCCTAAGGAAGGGTGACCGGAGGGTGAACAGTAAGCATAAGTACTGTAGCATGCACAACTGTTGGCTGGTTACTATCATTTCAGGCGGAAACGATTGAACATATGGTCTGGTGGCCTGCATCACTCATGACGTGCACCATATGTACGCACATTGGGCTGGCTGTTGCTAGCGATTATTCGACTCGATCTGTATAACGATGTTTACGGAAATCACTTTTAGCACTCTGTAGGTCAGACTTTCCGGATTTTTTTATGGTACCGGAGACAACTGAGAACAAGCTGACAGCTGATTCCAATACTTTTGTTCTTGAACTGGATTAGTAGCAAGTCGAACCCAGAATACATTCGTATAGCGTTCAGTAGTCATCCGTGGTTTAATATTGTTTAATATCGTAAGATGTTGGTTGCTGAATCTCATTTCTAGCACCATTGCAGGCTTAGCATGTCACGGTCTCTGTCACCTTAAACCATTCTGCAGGTTTTCGTTGATGGTGGGAAAAACTAATTCTAGCACCATCACACTAGCGGTTATTTGGTAATCTCAGAAAGCCTAGATAAACCTTCAAAACTCGGTAGTAAAATGCTTAGATCAGTGGCGTTTCACGCGATTAGCAGTGTACTTACCAAACGCTTCACCAAGAGCATCCCGTACGGCGGAATCTGTCGCTTCTAGTGGATGTTCTTTCCAAGAACTTCCTGTTTCACTCCTCAGTATCACTATCTCACGTTCACGGTTTCGCAAGGAGGCTATGTGTGGTACTTCTATTAGGATGGGTACGGTAAACTGCATTTGGAAGGGAGCCATCTCAAGGATCCTGTATTGGAAAAGAGAGACATAAGTTTTGAAGCATTGCGACGCTAGTCAGCCGCATATTCTAATCGAGGCTGTCTAACCTGTTGGTAAAAAGACACGCAAATAATGGTTTTGTACAAGTGGACAGTGATGTAATTTTTCTGTTGGGTGTGAGCACACTCGAATCGGTTCTGGGCGAGTACTGTTTTATTTGCATCACGACAGTAGTTCAAGTATGGAGGAAGTAGGTTGGATGGATACTGCAGAACATGCAGTGAATAGGACAGAAATAATTGGTCAGGAAAGGTTGCAGACCGCAGTGCAGAATCATCGGGCGATGCAGTTAAACGTTTTCAACATCCCAACAAAACGCGGATTCTTCTAGCACTTTTAGAATACTCACAAGTGCCATCGTCAGCGTGACCAACGCGGTAGAATGTACTTTGGTGGGTTACAGGCCAGTCCCTGAGACACTCAAGCAATGAAGTGCATCTTCAAGTGATACAAACAAGATACAAACAGTGAAGATGACCTTATGGAACCAAAAAAATCACCACCATGGCCTAACTTTTATATATATTAGATATTAGATAGATATCTCGTCTATAAGCACACGATTCCACGACAGAACCCGCTTGGCATACAAAGCTCTGTGTTGACGCAATATGTGCTATAAAGGGCCGGACTTCTCCAAAAAGCGAAGGTAGTTAAAAGTGGATTCAATAAGGAGCGAGTTGACTATTTTAATGATCACTCGGTTGGTGGCGGAGTCGTTTCGTAATTGCGAATTATAGATCGAGGTCCAGAGTCTGTAATTCACTCAGCTGTTTTGGTCGGCCCACATGCAGCAAAACAAAACCAGCGTGGGTAAAGCCAAATTTATTAGTTTTAATGACGTTAATGTTCATCTAGTTGATAAAAATTGGTTACTGGTAAATCAGCATACGCGGGAGGTGTCGGCCATTATGCTCAGAAATGAAGAGCATTCGATCGCTTTAGAAAATTGAAAACCTAAGCATCATTGATGCCACATGCACCAGCAAGTGCTTGCACGACTGAAATACGGCGAATCGTACCTAGTCACACGACACACTCACTGGTGAAATTAGAAATGGACTAAAACACACAGCTTACAGTTCAGAACTGCTAGGCTGTAATGATATACCGAGGTTCGGTAGATTTGTGTCACATGAGTGAGTGTGAACCGTTAATCGAGTACGAATGGGGATAAGTGAGTCCGCGTGGTCTACACCTCCTTGGACCTATCAACCAAATGCAAAAATTCGATGCTATTTTTTTGCCCCCCCTTCCCACTTAGCCCATAACTTTATCAGGGGATAGGTACACTGATTCAGGTGGACTAGTATGCGCATTTGAGGTGGAGGGATGTCAGTGACATTTAATTGTGCCGACTATCTTAATGACTGTTTTGGGATTAGGTCTGTGAATAGATGCCTGGACAAATTTGTTCTATTTAGTGCGGTCCCCTAAAGCAACAACAATACAACTTCCAAAGTTACAGCAGTCGGATTGTTGTTATAACTGCGATGGTGAACGCAGTTAAATATCTGGGTCGAAAAAAACACACGAGCAAAGGATAACAGTCGCACGATGAACCAATTAATTTCCTCAGTAAGGCAGAGGAATCGATTGTGATAATATACTACATCAATACACTTTACTGTGCGAAATAAATTTTTAAAAAGGACACTCTCTGTGCCTTAGCTTGTTTTTCCCATCCACGGGACGTCTATTCCAAGTTACGGAATACACACTCTACACTCGCTATCCTTACCGAGCGGCCAAACATTCGCCATCGTTCATATTTGGATGATTCGGGGCGAATTCCGGTCGAAGGACACGGCAGATAATTCGAGTTGGAGCAGGTGACGCATTAGGAGGGATGAAGAAGCGCAGATCAGTCCGGCGTTGTGCTTCAACTAAACAACCGCGCGCATCCACGAGGAAGGAAATAAGGAACCTGAAAGCGGGATTTATTGGAGAATTGATCGTAAGACAGGGTATTCCAGAACATTTGCTAGCTTGCTAGATTTTTGACTTACCCTGCTCGAATGGGCTTCCGCGTAAGCTGCATATTGTCCGTATCAAAATCCCATAAGGACAAACCTGCCGGAGAAGGTTGAACAGTTTGCACCTGTCCAGCAGTTTTGGCCGCGATCACCATTTGTTCCTAAGAGTAAGCAACGAGCAAATAAGCTGGATTGCATGAAACACGAATCAAAGGGAACGGAACTCAAGATATACAGCCAAAAAAGTGCACTTGGTTTGAGGATTGGGGGATTCGAAAACGACTGCGCTAGTTATTGGCGAGATGAGATATAATAAATGATTAAACTGGCCAGTTGAACCACACATACACAAAGGATACGGGGCAGTTACATTTTAGGCGAGTTTCGGCATTGGTACAAAACGCGAGGAACATTGTTCCGATCCACCAGAGTTGTTCAGAAAACTGTTGGATGGAGTCAGTGTGTCATTTGGTTATACTTAGGTACGTGATTATTTTCAGCTGTTGTGCTTGTGCGCAAATTCATCTAGGCATTTTTGCAAAATCTTCAGTGGTTGTAATTCTCTATCCCAACCTGGCGAGTGTACGAATCGATCATGAACAGAAAGAACCCAATCGGAATTGGATGTCTTCACTGTTCCAGGCAATAATGGGGAACCGCAGTTATGTGAATAGTTCTTCAAGTGGAAATCTCAGGGGTAAATTTAATGTCGAGCGCACAAACTGTTAAGAGATTTTTCACGGTTGAATCTTTTCGACCTATATTTGTTTTTCGCACTGGCAGAAACACGAAACCTGGAATACTGCCGGGCTCACAAGTTTGTGAAAGAGACTGTTAAATAGGCACTGGGGTATTTCAATCGCAGATGCACTGGCGAGCAGCCGCAGCCTATAACTTCCAACTAGATCAATCCCCGACAAAGGTGAAATAGCAAGGAAGGCACTGTCATGAGCTGTGAAAGCACAGTCAAGTTCCGAGATCAAAGGAACAACAAATCACCTCTTGTCAGTGATTAAACTATCCTGGCTACAATTCCTCTACCTGCTTGAAAACGACCTTATATCTTGCGAGATTTCGATACTTACAAAGTTAACTAAGCGAATCCTTTAACTTTCGCTTTCACTGTATCATGCTGCCATAGCATAAACGCCTGGAGATGCATTTTGAAAGCGGCTGGTCTACTTATCCTTTTTTTTAACGTCTCCAGGAGGTGATAAAAATCCCTGCATGACAGGTGGATTGTTCTCTGAGTCTGGCTATTTTGTTGCAAAAATCTTGAGCTGGCATCCAAAATGCACAGTGATGTATCGCTGCTCAATGTTTCAGTGATGCATCGGGATGTAGGTAACATAATTACCAAGTTCAAAGTGGGGTCCACCTGACAGCATTGCAATCTGAGCTACTAATATCCTTTTATCTGTCAGAAACCACATATAACTTCTTCTGTGACATGTTCATCAGAAAATCAATTCGATCACTTACTTGATCACTCGCGAGAGATTTTGGGTGGCCGTCAATTCGTCCGTCCTGGATACCGGATTTAACCATCTCATCACCTAGTGGACCAGAAATGCGCAAGAGAAATTTCCTAAATCAGTGCCATAAAATACAAATGATTAGTTGGGGAATTAGGGTGTGCAACTTTTCCATCACTAGCATGCAGTTTGTAGAAGATGAAAGCATTTCAGATATCACAACCGAAAATAGTTTAGACATCAATCAGTCCCAAGTACACCCCATGGAAGTCCAGTAACCATTAGGTATGTAACATTATGGCAGACCGAATGATATATCTGACAGGTAGCATAGGAAGTGGGCAAGATGAAAGGCCAATGGAATATCTCTGGTGTAAGGGGTGCTCGCTATATAGGCAAGCACATATTTTACAGTATTGCAAGGAAAGACATCTGCTTCTTGAGAGAGTTAGCTGATGGGAGGTTCTGAGAAAGGTCGATAGTATCGGCTATTCGGGAGAATTTTTCCATGTAGCCTAATGTATCAATAAATGGTGAACAGGCGGAAGTGAGTACGAAAACTGAGATTAGTAATACTTCTAAAACTGCACTTGCAGATTTCTTCGATTAGTGAGGAATCCGGTGATATGTATTAGTATACAAGACGCGAATTTAGTAACGGGATGGGATGAAAAAGATGGTCGGATATGACCCGCTAGTACGACTCAATATAATGAGCCGGTCAGAATATCTGGATGCTTTTGCGTCTAAACGGCGATAGTATTTTGCATCATGATACCATATTTCTGGATTTTTATTAACCATTCATGAAGTTACAAAAATATGTCACATTACGGTTCTCGAGTCCAAACGGTTTCCATACATCATCATCATCAGCATGACATCGATGCTCAACACTGATGCTTCCGTGATTCGGAGAAACAAAACCAATCCCAATGGGAAAAAATGCAATCGGAGCTAACAAAATGGTGGTTAAAAGACTAGTGCCGAACGCTCCGGAAAGTAAGCTCGACAACTGTGACAAATGTGTGAAACTAATTTAATACTGTTGAATTCTCTAGCGTCAACCTGTCTTAGCTCCACCGACCAGTCTGCATTTTAATTCGGATTTTGTCCTTTTAGTAAAACCAGTCTAAGCTGAGAAGCCTACAAGCACTGCGCAGATGTTCCATCCTTGTTCAGAATCATCAGCGGTGTGCATCTCACGAAAATCCAGCAGGAACCCGCGACATGTCTGCTAGTAGTTTGGACATCTGCTGACTTTCCTCAGAGCTGATGGTTGGACACACTGCAGTTACTTGGCGATGAGCGTAGGGGTAAACCCAAGACTACAATACCTCTTTAATCACTCGGTCAGCTTGAAAATTAGGGTGAGTAATACTTTGAAGAGCAACTGTTCTTTTCAAGATATATGGCACTTATTTTCAATCGGCAAAATATAATCACTAATCAGAGTTTATCTGGTCCGCTGAAGCTTATTTCAGCAGTCTCACTCCATCGATAAGTTAAGTTTAGACAGTCCCTTCAGGGGATCTCACAGAGAAGGCTATAGACCAGCTAAACAAGTGGTTTGTGAAATTACTGGAACCTTGAGTTCTTATTGGGCTTCTATCTCGTCAAAATACAATGTTTGATATTTTGGCCAAAGTAAGCTAAACAGCTGTGCATGCAAAATCCGGGTACACGAAGGGCCACGGCAAACTGAACGATGTGCGGACAGCATTTTCATTTTGTAAAAAGGTATTTCCATTCCAGCATTCTCCAGTTCTGACAAATATCGAATAAAGCAAAACCAGGGGAGGCTGGATCATGAATCCACCAGATCATCAGAAGAAGGAAGGGAATACATCCGGCTGTTAGATTGCGATTCACATCTGAATCCTACGTGTGTGTAACGAAGACTCATTATTCAGGGTTCACTCACCGGATGTCTTAGTGCCGGAGGGTATGAATAAGGAGCGCGGTCGCGTGGTTGCAATACTGTCCATGCGAATTTGCGGAGTTCCAGGAATACAAGTATCTTCGGCCTCACCTAAGCATGCACAATTCATGCCACAAGCGACCGGTTATGCACATGCATGACACAGGAAAAAGAGGGTGAAAAGTGGAGGGGCAGTGGATTAAGAGCATTTAAAACCATAAAACTTTCATTCAGTATTTTTGAATTCACTATTTTGTTTCTCCGAAACAAAGTACTGGCTTACCCAAACGCGTTCGCATGTACTCAAGTTGTTGACAGATGAAGTCATAGGAAGCCGTGCGTGATCGAAGGGAATCTGAGTCGAGTACAAAAATAAATTTGCTCGTACAAATATAAAAAAACACAACAACGGATAAAGATAACAACAAAATCACAACATCAACGGGTGTTTCGCGGAACCCCACCACTGGTCACTTTCTGAGACTGTTATCAACTGCAGTTCATGCTGTGTGGTTTAGCGCACGTGACATATTTGGGACCGCGTAATGTGGGTAGATGTCATGAAAATGATACTTTTGTTTGAAAATGGCGACTCTCAGGGATCAAGGCATCTTAGGGTGAAAGGTGACCGAATTTCTACCCGGGGTCGTATTACGTTCCCGCGTAATAGACGATAGACATCTAATAATTCCTTGATGAACATTGGAGTAACCGAAGGCGTGCGCTCATTTGATTCTGTTCAAAAGTCGTTTACCTGCGGACAGCTCACTCAGCTTGGACCTGTGTGCCATCAGCTGATTCAGCTCCACCTCAAGGTCAGACAACCAAAGCCTTCTTTTATGTCCCTTGAACTGGGGTTGGTCTACGGAATCGATGCTGTGAAATGCATTGTTCCCATCTGTTAATGAATACGACTGAAGAGACTGTTGGAAGTGATTGAACAACAGCTCCTCGGAATGCCATATATCCGAATAGGTAAGAGCAAAAACAACAATTAAGTCATCATGCAATAAACTGATAAATAGAATTTTGACGAATCTGATGTCGTTCAATTAAACAAACACGCCTGGGGCAGAAGTATTCTGAACAAAACTTGTTTTCTTTAGGTTCTATACAGAGATTTGCTGATCTGTTGCTAAGGGCAACAGACTTGCAGATTTCAGATTATATGTAAAGATCAAAAGAGCACACTTCGGAGTTCTCCGCACTGCTACTTCAGTACCGCTTCTCAGTATGCGACCTTATCTGATGATTATAGTACCCCGTCTCCATTATGATAGAGCTGTATTCACATTAATCAATAACGTTGGCCAATCCAAAAATGGCCAGTCTGTTGTGTTCACCGTTTCGACTGTATGAAGAGCGAATATTTAAAAGTATACAGAAGACGTCAGCTTGGTAGCAGTCAACTATTTTACAATGTGTTAAAGAAGGTAACTTTTGCTGTTTGCGACTAGCCGTTAATTTATATCAGCGATTCACTTTGTAGCTGAAGCTGGAGTGGCTTAAACCGCACCACAAAATCCCAGTGTATCACCTTATACATAGAATAGCGGAGTACCATTGTAACACCGCGATGCTCACATATTTCATATCTCCAGTAGAAATCCTAGAGTCAGCTTAAGAATCGATTCAGAACGTAGTATGCTCGACCTAAAAAAATGAGTAGGCTTTGAATGGATAGCGTAATCTACGAGAGAACAGCTTGTTCCACCTCCTTTACCCTTACCTTGATCTCCAACAGGTTGACGCGGGCGATCACGACGACGTAGTAGCGTTGGTGTGGGCAAGAGCTCATCTAGGAGGTTAATAGGATACCGGGGTTTACGAAAGACAACAGAAACCACATCACCATCAACAACACTGAGGACAACAACAATAAATTACATAGGTGAGGCACGCAGCGGTCTGTTTGAATACAATCCAAAATAGGGAACGGAATGACAACCACAGAACTGACAACCCAAATAATTAAACTTAAGCTTCCGACAGGTGAGATTGTGGGAAATTACGAAATTATACGACGGTAGCATAACAAAGCTCTTGAAAACCGTACCATCAATAAGTAACCAAATAAAATTATCATATACAAAACTGTTTACTCCGGAGTTAAGAGAGGTATGTCTGTTCGAAATGGTCAGTGAGGAAACTTCGACTGAAAATGGATGAATGCTGGAATTTTATTACTTAAATATTGCATAAAACTTGCCAGTCAGCTTGTTGTGACAGCTGTTATATCAAGTCATGTAGTCTGCGAATATACACTCATTTGCAAACTAATTTGTTTTTTTCGAGAGAATCACCTGGAACCCAGCTGAAACTCACATTTGTGATGTTTTTAGGCAACTGAATGTGCTGCAGCAGGCCGCCTCATGTTTCATTCGCTACGATGTTCATGATCGTGGGCTGTCGACGGATTTTCAGCAACCTTATGAGTAGTACATCACAAAAGTCATGTAGTACTTCAAGAATAATGATAGACTGTGCAAGTTCGGTAGATTTCCTTGACTAACAGTGTCCTAATGAATTGGTTCTCAGTCTATCAGATTTTGTGGAAGAACGCTTACGTTTATGGAGATAAGGTCACGGATTTTATCCTGTGCCGAAAAGACCGTATTTAAACGGTGCTACCGAACATACCCAACTAAACCAACCGTGGGTTTTACATGAAGAAAATTAATGATAACTTCGATCTAACAATGACAATTTTTCACTGTTTACAGTTGCACTCTTCAGTGCGGGCTACTAAAATTACTTGTCATTTGTAAATAATTCGGGAGATTTTGGTGCTGAGGCTAGCAGTTCGGTATGTCATTATATTCCTGTCTCTCGTCGTTCAAATTCAAATACGCGTTACCATTATAACCAGACTACCTGATATGTTACTCACACGCTCGGGCTAGTAGAAAGGGACAGACAGTAGAATTCAGCTGTTTTAGTAACTGTTTGCCTATCCGCCCTGGTAATCAGAACCCAAGCGTTTCGTTGACATTCGCCTTGTTGTCAGTAGCATAGAGGATGGAGACGGTGGCATAATGTGGCACGCAAGACCAGTGTGGTGTATGTACTGTAAGGCGTTTCTTCAAAAAGAATGCAGTGGAATGCAGGTCTTAATTCTTGAGCATTTGTTGGCCCCAGCAACCCCCTCTTCCCAGTATCACATTGTATTTTTTCGGTTCTGATACTTATTTTTCACGTTTATTTTGGTCGTGCGCTTTGAACGATTAGTGTTATGCTTTTGTCAACAGATGATACTTTTTGACAAAAGCAAAAGCTTGTTTTTGGCCCCTCAGACCAACACATTTTGACTGTGCCTTGAAAAGCACTCTCAGAGAAAAACGGTGCTACTTCTCTAAGAAAAGTCTCGTGGGTGTTGAAAGGAGAAAACTGTTCGAAGGAAGCATATCAGCCAAGGAGTAAGATTACTTTATTCTACACTATTGGAACTGCACACCACATTGTGAACATCTAACTGGTTGAGCAGATTTATGCTTTAGTTCGCGCCGTAGAAGCCCTTCATACGAGATCAGATGGATTGTTGCCATGGCTTTTCAATAAGTTCCGGGGAAGGAGATAATACGCTTGTCAAGAGCGGCGTCCAAGTGCCAGGGAACACAGCATACCTGCAGACACTACTTGACAGCTGTGTGGTAACGGATCTAAAGTTAGTTCCTTGACAGTAACTTGAACACACCCAACCACTAATTTATCGGAACACCTAAAAACTTCACCGCGTTTACTGACTCTAACAGTGAAACCACATTGCAACATTGCATCCAACTTATGGAATTCCAGACTGGAAGGTGAGTGGTCTTGATCTTCTTCCATCCATCCTGCCCGGAGTCCGCGCTGACGTTCTCACTTTATTGGTGTTTATTTCGGTTAACCAGTCTCTTCACAGAGGTGATGAGGTAAGTTAGAAAATGTGCCGGATAATTCCACATCCGGCCAGTTATCAACCTATTCCTCGCAAGCCTACATTTTATAAACTGTTCGAAATTGTGCTTTTACATCAGTGGCAACTAGTGCCTGGAGACTCCTATCACATGCAACATCAGATCGCTTTCGACAGTAAACGCTGTCACTCAGCACTCTCATTAACTTTGTCCGACTTCAATAATTTTTTTCACTGACCACGTAAATGTGTCTGGCAACGTCCACAGACGGGCAAAGATGGGTTAAACCATTTCAACTTCTCCAAGGCAACATAAAAAGGGGGGTTTGGATATAGTGGTCAAAAATCCACAACTTTCCTCACACATGCTAGTTCCGCACTAAGGACTGCCTTTTATCCCTTCTTTACCATGTTAGCAGCATACCTACTTTGATTTTTCCATTTTATGCTTATGTGATTGATGGGTGCGTTACTTTATGGGTGAAACTCCGGAAGTCTACATGACTGCCAACTTCCGTTAATCCATGCGGTGGCTTAGGTGATCTTAGGATCTTTCAATGTCACTCGGTAATCCGAAACATCTGGGTACAAGATCATTAGAAAGTTCAGGGGGCTATTCGACGAATTTTTACCCTCAAAGTTGATAGACTTGTACCATAGGGTATTTCATGCTCATATACTACGAACTAATCATCTCAACTGAACTCAGGCTGTCCCAACAGATTGAACCAAAACCGACATTTCGCGTTCAGCACTCTGTATTTCATGCTGGCATCTGTCAGGTCATGTGTCCTTCTAAGCTGAATTTACCGTTCATCTCTTTTATGCTTCAAACTAGCGGAATATCGTTTCCTGATTGGATGTCCGTAGAGCACACTGGTGAGTGCACGGCTAACCTAACGGTTGAACTTCTTAGCTTTATTACAAGTAAAGACGTCTTCCCTGTTGAACATCCCTTTCACCCTAATCTCTCTGGGACCTTTTCATATTTTAACATAGGGTCACAAAGCAAAATTTGCTTCTTACTTTTTACCTTCAAGAATCCACCCTTAGCTAACTAGATAACCATCCCATAATGCCTCTTTATTTGAATGTGAAACGGTTCTTCAGGTATATAATTATTTTTCATGATTTTTTTTAGCTCTTTGGACTTTTCTGTAAGTTTTCGCGCTGATTTTGACCTTCGAGTAAGTGAGGCTCTTCTTTGCTTGATCTAACGTAAATTTGGACAAAGCAGATGAGGGCAACGTTACACTAGCTTTTATTGCAATCGAAATCAAGTGGTTTGTCGGAAAACGAATGGTAATAGCGTCACGAAGCTTCTACTAAGTCATTCAAATACCTCTGAAGCGGTGCTGAACGAAAATTCGTGTTTTTTATACAACCCAAACCTACGGTACACTTCATGCTTGATGTGTAAAGCTTTTACCTGATAAGATCTGACGTATGTGCTGGGGTCTGACGAATAATTCGGCCAAAGTGCGAGCTGAAAGAATACTAAACTGCATGTTAAAGGTTCTTTTATAGCCTCTTTTTTTTACAAAAACCAAAAGGAGTCGGGTTTGAGTCATTTAACTATGAGGGCTGTATTACTATTTTAGGAACTTGAGTGCGATGGGAAATGTAGAAAAATCATTGAGCAACCAGGTTACGTCACCTGAATGGCAGGAAAAATATCACTCAAAAAGGGGTTCCTCACCTCTTCTGAATGTGATTTCCGTGGGCAGGGGACGTGTGTGGTCCGACACTAGTGCGTGAAATCGCATTCAACTCGGTGACGATTTACCCTAGCTGTCTTTCAGTACAGATATGATGGTTCCGTCTCATAGGAAATCTACTACGGTACTTGGATAGACGAGTGGCTTTAAATGACACTATTTAACGTTCTTTTCCCCATTCTATCCTTTTCAGATTTTTTACTCATCCTGTTTTTTTTTCATTTATTTTGCTTGGCATTTTGAAGGAAAAGCCAATATCAAACAATGGAAGAAGCATCCCAAATACTCTATCTGGTCGAATGGTAAGAAGAACCGAGTGATGCAGGCTGAACAAGGAGACATCTCTACATTCCGGTCGTGAAACTTTGAAGACCCTGTTGATTACTGGAGTCAACTTAACGTATGGTCAGTGCGGCTAAATGTGGTCATGTATCGGCTTCTGTCTCAGGCTTCATTAATTTCGGGATACAGCTCTCAATAACTTCGGCGAACAATAGTCCCTCAGCCAGGAAGATCAATTTGGGCGAGAGTCGGTCGCGCACACGGGGTAAAAGCACCACCTTCCTCCTGGCTTTACTTGCGCTTGACGCCTCGTTCAATAATACCGAGAGAAGTTAAATTGTTCTTACTCACTGATGCTTACATTGCAATGAGAAAAGTAGCTGTTGAACGGAGGGAGATCCGGCTTGTTGCACTATGAGGGTGAGCCCAGAATCTATCGGTCGTTTTAGTAGAAGCAACCTAGTTCCAGAAAATTCAAAGAGTGTAAGGACGTTGAATTTTGTGTCATTCACTCAGTGGCTGTCTTTGTATGCAGTCCCTGATACTCGATGATTTCAAAGATTTATAGATCAGGACATCAGGATATCTTCACTAAGGAAGAAAACTTAGGTCTCCCGAGGTGCAGCAAAGCTTAGTTGTGATCGTATAAACTCTGAATTCTGGGGATACATGATGGTTGCGAGCAATCCTGTCAAGAAATGACGCACTGTATCACATTCTTGCCATGTTATTAATATGGTGTGCCTAATGGAGAGGACATTTCTGGCCAAATTAGCTCCGTCATTTTGTAAAAGGATAACAATCCGTCTGGTCAACATTTGCTGACTGTACTCATTATTTTTAGCAAAACAAAGTTGTGATTAATTCCAGAAAAAATTGCTGCTGACTGTACTCATTGTTTTTAGCAAAACAAAGTTGCTGATAAATACAGAGAAAAATTGCTGGTAATATAACTGTGCTTGCGGAATTTTCGCGAAACAAGACAAATTTAGTTGTTTCACATCCCCAAAAGCATCCTCGGCACTCATGCTTTGTGAATGGTTTTTAAGTTAAGCGAATGTCCGGAGGAAACGTGCGGCCGGAAATCCGAAGCGAAATGTCTGGACTTAACTGAAATGACAGTCTCGTCTAACATCACACTTTAAATGCTAACACAGTCTAACGCTGAACTGTAATCAGACTTGTCAAGTGACAAACAACATTGTGGGGATGTGGCGATAGAAATAATGCGTTACACAAGAGCTGGTTGTGCTAGGTGGTGGAATTTTACGTTGACCGTTCTATATGGGAGTTCCACACATGCATGCGGGGCATGGTTACACTATGGAGAGATTAAGTTAAGCAAAACTGACATCCCAAAAGGTAAGCCTGTATGACGATTCTCGTTCTCACAGAACAACGTTTTTTGGTAAAAGATAGTTTCAGTAGCCAGAGCATCATTGCCTTTGGTCTTACTTACATTTATCTACGCCGGAAGACCTCATATCAATGGAGGAAATGTAAGGTTATGCAAAACACGATAACTGGGCGAAAGAAGGTTCATAGTGCGGCGCGGAAAATATGGCCGGAGTCCACAAAGCAAATGATTGACTAGAATCAGTCCTGATATGCCCAGATAAGTAGATTTCCATTTTTTGGACGAGAACAGCAGACGCCTTTGTAATTTTATTCAGGGATAGTCTCCCATTCGATAGTACCTCCAAAAGATGAGCATATTATTATTATTCAGTATCTCTGAAGTTAGGCGGAATTCCAGAGTTTTCGTCGGATTTTGTGTGTCTAAACATGAATTTAGACAAACGTAAGGAGTAATTTACAAGAGGAAATGTTGCCATTGTGAGATTCACTCCTATGAATTTGGATCCACAGGTGTGAGCATCTTCAAAGAATATTACTGGTCCTGCAAGTAAAAAACTTAACAATGTTCAGGAAGAGTGTGGCCCCATTCCAATCCCTATTTGCAAATCAGCCCGTTTTGCATCCTGACAATCGGGACAGTAGGCTAAAGAATAAAATACTTAATTTCGGATGTGAAGCTGAAGGCTTGAGATAGGAGAGCTTTTCATAAGTTAAGAAAGCGCATGACACGATTGAGAATAAAGCCAACACGTAGGTCAGAAGAGTGTGGGTAGCTTGAAAACTGATTTGCAATTATCCGCTTAGTGTTCTGAGCCATAAGCAAAGGCCTAATGCGACCATACAGGCCTGGTGGTTTGGTGGTCTCTCGAAAAGCGGATTAGATATATTCATTTTTCTGCAGTGAAACTGCTGTATCTTTCCATTTTAAGTTCAAATACTTGGTGGAATTTGGAGCTGGGGTAGTGAAGCAGATATATGCAAGCCAGATCATGTCCCAAAGAGCAATCAACGGCTTGGACTTTTACTTCCAGGATGCTGTTTGGCAAGCACGAGAAAAAAGGGCAAAGCCTTAAAAGGTGTTGGCGCTGAAGTGATGTAAGGACGGGGAGTAATTATACCAGAACCCGATTGCTTTTTGATACTCAGCTCGTTGATTTATTCAAATATTATCATTACTCGGCTTGCTTGTCCTCTCGGGATATATCAAGTGAGTGGTCAGAAAAAGCACTTAGGTTTGACATGTACAGACCATCCAAACATAAATGATTTCCGAACTCTAAATATAAGATATATTGTTGAGCACCATTCAATAAGCAGTAGACCTTTTTGTCAACGCAAGTGCTGAAGACCTCGATATGTTGGTGAGTGATTTCGGGGACATAAATGATTATAACTTGGAAAGTTATAGGAGTTATCGCCGAAGTAAAACGGCTCTTGCCACTGCAGATACTGGTTAGGGGGGTGTTGCCGTGTTCGACAGGATAGCTTTTGATGACCGTGATTCGAACTTTTGTTCGGCACGCGAAGTCGCAGATAAGATATATGTTCGTCCTTTCGACTGTGAAATTACACATTTAGGACCAACCACGGACAAAGTGTCGATGCCTGGCCATACCTATTGACAGCCAAATTTGTGTATATATATTGTCAACTTGGTGTCCAAACATTGTTAGTTTACGCTGATAAGTGTAAAAAATAGTGTTCGGGTATAAATATGCAGCTTCACCGATCTTGCGTGGCTCTTCAACTCACTCAGTTTGGTCATGGTAACTGTCAAATTTTCCGTTTGTCTGTGAGAAGAAAGGCCTGCAGGCCCGGCATCTTTTCGTGTTAATATGAAACGGAATCAGTGGATTAGGCGTCTTTCATGTAACAAATTAAAAGTAGGTAATGATTGGTAGGAAGGGTTAAGATGTTTATGGACAAATCTGTTCCCCAGTTTCCGCTTGCTATCCGGTATGATGCTTCAAAAATGGTTTTGTTCTAGGCATACACATATATGCATAGTCTGACAGCTGAACATACCTGTTTCGTCTTCGCTGTCTGAGATGATGTGATCAACCACCTGTTCGACCTTCTCAAATGTTACTGACCCGGTTACCATCTTCGGGTCCCCGTCAGTCTGACCGTCAGGTCCGGCTCCAGTCAGACTCGGCACGGACCAGTCACTCACGTTGGTGGTTACGTTTTGTAGGACCTCAAACAAGTTCAGATAGTGTTGTTTATAAGCTAGCTGTGCAGCAGTCCATCCTTGCTGAAAGCGCAAAGAATAAACGGTAGTGAATGTAAGAGCTGTAGTACATTAACACAGTTTCACAGAGACCTGCTTCAACAATGTCACTATTATTGTTTGTGTAAAAATAGCGGTAAGTGTCCTACCGAGTAACTTATCAATAAAGTCAGTGCATCGAAACACTGGTCGCTCGGGTTCAGTCTCCTAAGAGGTGTCAGTAGGCGACATACATTTGGCAGAACAACTGCCAAGCTTATCTGATAGACAGGAGTGGAAAGAGCTGCCTAATTTAGTCCTGCCCAATTTTTATAAAAAGTGCAAGCTGCTGAATGCGATTCTGCACACTTTGTTGCCATAAATTTATCCTAGATAGTCTATTCTAAGCAAGCCTCAAAAGAGGTGAATCAAAATATTTGATTATTTCGACGGATTAGGAAGGATTGTTACAGTTGAATAGAATTTCACGCGAGAACATTCAAACCCTAGTCCTATGATAGACCTGTCGATTGCCCGGTAGACTTCTGTGTACAAAGTTTTGGTGGGTTTAAAATTGTCCGCATATTTTCATCAAACATAGAAATGGTTGTGTTCCTGCTACGCAATAAGGTTTCGATTGATATTTCCACGCCATAAATAGGACATGCTGCACGGTCGAGGAAGCTGGCATTCGCTGATTCTGCCTAGTTGGTTTGGATGCTGAATCCGTCGAGCGTTTGGATATAGTTCACTGGGAGGTCCGATTAGCTATCCCAGCTACAGTTGGCAGGTAAAATCATGGGAGAATGGAACATTAGTGAATTTACGCAATACGCTCCTGAAACTGTGCCGACCAGATGTTGAAAATAGGTCGGATTATGCCACGGAAAGTAAAACTCATAAGGTACGAATTATAATTTAGGTTTAAAAAATTTCATCAGACGATATGCTCTCAAGGACGAGTATGAAAAGGCCCTATTGGTCAGCATTTTTTGGAGGATATCAGGTAGTTTGTGGTTGATATGCGTGACACTTGTTTTTGAATATCCACTGTATTTCGTAATTTCGACTACTCATTCTGAGGGGTTTGTGGCTTCGGGTTTTTATAGTCTGCCTGCAAAGAACAAGCACTAATCCGCTTTCTGAGATCAACTACAAGACATTATAAAGTACTAATACTTCATTCAGGCGGGTTTTCCGTGGATTGCACGATGTAGGTGGACATTTGGGTACTTTGTGGTCAGGAAAGACAGGGTTATGGATTGTGCATTTTATGTCCATCCAAAGTTAGGTTGGGAAAGTTTCACTGCGTACTATAAGAGTGGTTGTGTGCGGTTGCCACACAAAAGGCCATGTGTATACATGAGGCTGCGCAGGAACACTTACTCTATTACGCGCGTTCGCATCTGCGCCTGATTGCAGCAGTTTCAGTACCGTTTGAACATGTCCTTGTTGCGCAGCAAGATGCAATGGTGTACAGCCCATACGAGTTCTTGCGTTAAGTATACCTGGCAATTCGGATTCTGGGGTTTTACTAAGTAACAGGCGTAGAGCATTTAATTGTCCTCGATAGGCAGCCGAGTGAAGCGGAATGAAATGCGCATCTGTCGTTGCAGCGTGCAAAGATGCACCAGCATTGAGAAGGCACTCGGCGACAGGTACTTTGTCTTCTTGCACAGCCAAGTGTAGCGGTGTGAGGCCATCCTACATGAAAAAGAAGCACAATGGAAAAGGATTAGAAGCTTGGATGAAAATGTGATCATGCTCTGTGTGACGCACTTCGTGTGGGTTAGGCTCAATGGCAGCCCCTGTTGAACTCAAGCGCCCTGTGTGCACTTTGCTAACAGGCTCAGCTACTCTGAAAACGAGACCTAAATATCATACAGTATCATCTGTTCATGAGCTGAGGTATAAGTTTAAAATTCAAAACTGTTTTCTATATAATTACTGATACAGTTAGTTTCATACATTTGCTTCTGCAGTATGCCCAACTGAAGAGAGAGGTGGGCAACGAAACATACAGATGTACGCAAATACATGTGTGCGATTTCAGCTAGGGGTTTGTCCGGTCATACGACTCAAAATTGAGTTCTGCTGAAATTCGCCAAACCAAAACCTCAAGGTTTACTTAAATACAGTTTGTGCTACTCCTCCTATAGTTAGACAAAAATTCAGGTCCATCGTAACTGATGTATGTCCCCTTTTTCAAACCGTACTTAGCTGGTATAACCACGATTTCTCAAAGCATTTCTTGGCCCATTTGCAATGAGCCTTTTTTATTTGAGCGTTTCATCACTGGTAGGTTCATCGGATGGTAGTCACGTACGAAGACGCACAGGGCTGTTGATGGCATGCGTGGTGACCGAGCGTATGAACGAACAGCATATTAGTGATCACCAAATAATTCTTGCTTTTCGAGTAGCTTCAAGTCTTTTTTAGTAATGCATGTGTACGAAAATAACTAATAAGCAGCCAGTCCCTAGTTGGCCCAAATAGAAACACTTTGTTACCAGGTGGAAAGCTAGAGAGTTAGAATGTGTGTATGGGTCCGTACAAACGCGCAAAATAGCGTAAAGATCAAGAATGGCGGTTGTGATAAACTCAAATAATTAAAGTGTGCCTAAAGCTGAAAATTCTCCAGTGCTGTGAGAAAAGTAGCTTTTTACCGAGACACAGACCCAAGTATAACTATATCAATTTTCTTTCCTACTTCACTTGACCGGGCCCCTGTATTATGTATTAGGCGCGGGAAATTTATGACAAACCTACTTGCAAAAGATGGTTCGTTATTGCCTGGTTTGCGATTGATCGAACATTAGTATTGTTTTACAAGTTTACTGTGCGTAAAGTTAATAAGGGTAACTCTGAATTTGTACTTAGTGACCATGTCAAAACAACTCCCACTTGCTCACCATCTGCACAATCGGAGTTAAACCATGGGTGTGAATGATTTTGGTCCATGACCAGTTCGTCAAAATAGTGCGATAGTTCGTGAGACGGAAAAAACTGTTACTGTTATTTCGGTAAATCTGAAACACTGCGTCAATTTTGGTTCCTACTTAGTGGATTTGAAACAGCTTGGATGTTTATATACTTCACCTCATCTAGCTACGGGCCTCTGCTCGTAGGGATTGTATTAAAGACATAGTAACGTAGTCGCAAAGTACTCACTTTCGCTGCAGCATCGGGGATGGCTCCGTAATGTTCCACTAAGGTTTGAACAATATCAAAATGCCCATCTTGTGCTGCGAGATGAAGTGGCGTGTAGCCATTTCGAGATCTGGCGTCCACACTTGCCCCTTGCTCCAGCAGAAATCGAACACATTCGAGATTATTGCGTTTGGCTGATAAATGTAGTGGCGTGAACCCGTTCTTCACGGTCTTGTTGATATCTGCCCCATAATCCACGAGGAGTTGTAGGATCTACAAATAAGAATGGAAACAATGGCATTGTTCAGGCGTTTAAGCAACGTAAAACAAACAATATATATCTGGTTTCAGTGGTGTATTTGACAGTTTAGACTTCTGTCCCATGTCATTGTAGCGAAAGTGCAAGCATGGATGGTTCAGCTCTATCACATTTAGTTGTTGTGTGGCACTGTTTTGCAATCTGATCACTGTGGTTATTCTGCCGCGGATAGCACCGCTACATACATACGAATTCAAAGTACGGTTTACGTGACATCAGAGCAACAGGCTGAATACTCACCGAACTCTGCTTGTAGTAAGCGGCCACATGAACTGGTGCAAAACCACTGTGGCCGACGGAGTTGGGATCTGCATTGGCATGCTCCAGCAAAGTGTGTGCGATGGCCAGATTTCCGTATTTTGCTGCCAGATGCAGGGGAGTATATCCCTTCTATGATAAGAGTAAGTATAGAGCGTGAAGTAGCGGAGTGTAGCGGAGAGTAGCGTAGTATAGGCTCTACTAGTTGACACAGTATTACATTGCTACAAAACAGGCTGACAAAAAACGTTCAAATTAAACAAAACCTTGAGTGAGGAAAAACCGCGAGCGAAATTCCCCGCAAACCCTGAGAGGTACGTATACAACTGCTCCAAATTTGTTATCGATGAAACGCTTTTGAAGGTCCTATTACTAGGGCCAAAATTCTGCTGCCTGCGCCGTAGAGATGACAAATTAGCAATTCGAGAACCTAGTTGACAAGAATTCTGGCCTGTCCCCGACCTCAACGGCCAACTTAGACCGCCTCAAATCCGATTTGGTCAATCGCAGCTATCAAAATAGTCACGCCAGGTTGGTTCACAACAGTCCTCTCACAAAGAAACATCTAGACGCATTGAAAGCCTTACGAACGAGGAGTGATATAATGCTAACAAAGC